ATTAGTTTAGACGAACTACGCCGCTGAAAATTAGTTTAGACGAATTTCTTCTTCATTTGCTCAAACGAACTACGCCGCCGTTTATCTCTACTTCGTCTCGCCGTCGCAAATCTTTCGTCATTCACATCTCTGCCTCTCTTCATAAGTTCCTCACTTTCCATACTCAACTTCTCCGATCTCCATGCTTACCGCCATCGTTCAAAGTCCGGCTACAACCTCTCTTGTTTCTCTCAGCATTCGCAGTTTTTACCTTATTCGCACTCAGTCTTCGTTACAAACTCTAAATTTGATCCTAACGCGTCTAACACTCAGATTAAGCGCAACGACAACATTTCTCGATCCGAAAACACGCTATAGTATGGATTATGAAGCGAGAAGGATGAAAAATGAAAGGATTCATTACTTACCGACCGGCGACACTCCGGTGGTTCTTCTACGAAGGCGTAATCAAGAAGAAAACCAGATATCTTCAGATAATAATTCTTGTGCTCTCGTTTTCTACTACGAAATTGTCTTCCTCTTCCAGTCCATTTCTTCTTCTTTTAATTCTTCTGCGTCTCTGTTGTTTGTGTTTGTTGCGAGTTATGATGCGTGAATGATAAAGATGTTGCTGAAGTTGCTCTGTGATGTGAGATGTTGTTGTTGTGCGTTGATGTGTTGATGCAGTTCTCATGCGATGCGGATTTGTTGTTATGCATGAAGCAAAGGGAATCGATTGTTAATGCAGAAAGAAGATGCGATGAAGTTGTGTTGTTGATGTTTAAGAATCGATGAAGATGGAAGCAGATAAAGATGGAGATGATGTTGTGCAGAGAGAACTGAGATGAAGTTTGAGATGAAGATTTCAGAGAGTTTGAAGAATTTCTGCAGAATGATTGTGGTGAATGAATCGTGAATGAGAAGGATCTTATATAGGTTGTTGGAGATGAGAAAGTTAGTTAGAGATGGAGGAAATCACAACCTTTGGATTGTCTGAGTTTGTTACAGATTAATGGTGAGATTTGATTCTGTTATGAGAGATTTATGCTGACCTGTTCAATATGTTATGAAGTTAATTCTTCTGTTTCTGTTTTAATAGTTTTCTCTTCTATTTTAATCCCTAGAAACTGAACTTATGTTATGGATAATTGCTTTTCTTTTTTGATATGGTTTTTAATGGATGCAGGGCATACTGTTTGGCATCGATTTTATAAGCATAAATTGGTTTTGTTGTTTGCAGCAGGAATATGTTTATGGATTTTTGTTTGGCAGCAAGTTATGTTTGATGCAGGGTCGATTTGGATGAGTTACTTGGCATGGATATTTGGATCAAGTTTGGATATTTGCAAGGAGTTGAATTGGAGATTGGCATAGCATGAAGATTGCAAGGTTGAATCAAGGCTGGTTTTTGTGATGGAGCAGCTTGATGCAAAAGATGGAAAGCTTCTTGGCAACACCATTGAAGGCATGGATAATGAAGTTTGCAATGGAGGCAATGTTTTAAAGATAACTTGAAGGCATAGTAATGAATTTTCTTATTTTCAAAGCAAGTTCATTCCTTCAAGTTGCATTTTCTTTTTCTTTGATTTTAGAATGGCATTGATGATGATGTAATGAATCTTGAAACATGGCTTTGGCTAATCTTCGGTAATACCTTTGACATAACTTTGTATGTCCCAAGCATTTAGTCTTCATTTCTTTGCCTTTCAAGTATCTTGATGCATTAATGGGATCTCAACTTTTATAAAGAGCATTGCATCCATGTCATAAACTAAGAAAAAAAGAATTGTTCTTGTTGAAGTGCGGACGTTCGGTATCCATGCAGAGCAAAAAGGAGCATCTCATGACAGTTCTGGTAGGTTATAACCATCTTCTGCAGAATTTTCTTGTTCAAAAATTTAACTCGTATCTACCTTTTCAGTTGAAGCTTCGAAGGTCAACAATGGTGAAATCGAGTTGAAGGTTGCAGTGGGTTTTAAGCTTTAACAATGCTTCAGTTAGCTTCAGATGGTGCCAATTAGTAATTTTGGACAGAGATTTGAGTTAAAACAAATTTAAAACGGAACGAGTGTATATGGTTTTTTGAGCTTTTCGTGAGTGAAAATGACAGAGGTTCTGTGGCTGTCTAAGCTTGCAAATGAAGGAAAAACAATCTTCTATTTATAAGAAATGAAATGAGGTCATGGTATATGCGAGTTCAGATCTAGAACATATGAACTAAGTTGGTCAATTTCATTTTGCAATCCGTGTGAGACTGACAGTGAAATGTGTGATCTTGACATGAAACCTGGTCGTTTTGCACTCCACTCTGCGCGTTTTGCAACAAACAAGTTTGTTATGTGTTGGTGGTCCCAAGTGAAGATTTGATGATTTTAGGTTTTAGGTCATTCGTGAAATGCAGAGTCCATGTCACCATATTTGAACTTAGACCAAATGAGCTTCATTTGCGCGTTTTGAGATGTTCTTTGTGTCAAATGATCTCCTCATGATGAAGAATCAAATGCAAAAAGAATCACATTAAAAGGATGCTTGAGTTGAAAATGGCATGGATGACAAGTTTAGGTTAAAACTTGATTTTTGGATCAGGCAATAGGTCGAACCGGTTTTGGACCACAACTTTTGTGTGCACATGGACATCTTGACCAATTCCAAAATTGAGGTATTTAGAGGCAAAATTGATGTTTGACCCTTAAAATAAAGTTGTAGAGGAGTTCAAATGTGACATTTGACTCGAAGTAGATTTCAAAAATATTGAGAAATGAGAGAGTTATGGTATTTGGACCAAGTGACATGTCATACTTGATTTTAGGTCAACCAAACATGTATCAATTTGTGACTTTTCGCTATTTTATTGCATCCAAAGGCTCAATGATGAACACTTGAACACCAAGTAAAAAAATCTTGATTGTCTCTTGAATAATCTTGATAATTGCTTGAGAATTGGATCTATATGACATAGAAATAAATACATGAATCATACTTGAATCAAGTTTGAAATCATGCACCAAATTTGAACTTTCCTTCATCAAATGATGTTGAATGAAACTTGACATGAATATGATATAAGATTATAGGTCATACCTTGAAGTAAAAGCTCTTGCGGACCACTTGTTGACCAAAACTTTGACCTTGGAAACCAAAACCCTAATTTAGAAAACAAGTTTAATCTTTTCATCGCAAGTCTCTATCTTGTACAATAAGAAAAGAAAGCAACACATATTTTTATATTTTGAATAAGATTAGCAAAGTTAAAATGTAAACACACAATAGATGCGAAAAGAAACACAAATGGTGTTTGGTGATCTCCTACAAAGGTTAAACGAAAGGGATAAAGGTTATGAGGATGACATGCTTCTGATCTTTGATTAGATGTAAATGATATGATGGGTGGAATCTTAGGGGTAAAAAATAGAGTATGACACGTCCCTATCATAAGGCAAAGGAGGGACTACACTAGCTTGCTCGTGCTAACGAGCCCTCTCGCGACGAGCAGATGCATTTAGGGTTGGGTCGCCCGAGTCTCAATCTTTCTTGATTTTCAGCCATAGCCCTGAAAAAAATATAACAAATCATGAGAGGAATAAAAGGGTTTAGATATGCATCTCTGAAAACCTGAAATAGAACAGTCAGAGATGCATATCTGAAACAAATATTCGTTTTACTTCAATGGCAGATATATTTCTGCAATGCTGTATCCATTCAAACTCATCCAAATCATATAAACTGGGTCTCGAAACACGTACACGCACATTAACCTATTTGAGTTATCTAATGCATTAAAACTAACATATTTGAGCTAATACATTAATCAAAAATCAAAATAAACTAAATGAAAAACTTAAAAATGTGTTAATTAGGGTATAAAGTGTTATGTTGTTAAATGCAATAGTTAAAAAGAGTTATTAATGGTATGAAACAAGTAAATGTTGTTTCAAATCTTAACCTCGAGTGAGAAATTGAAATGTGTATAATGAGATAAAGAGAAAGTGAGTTTCTGAAAAATGAACAAGGAGAAGAGAGTATGACGCGAACTTTAAATAAGCTCATCTACTTCAGAGATGTATCTCCAAACTAATTTTTTTGAATTTAAAAAAAAGTATTCAAATATGTATCTCCGAACACATCCTTAAAATGACTTCGATTGTACATCTTCGAATTTTATTTGAAAAATAAAATAAAATTTAGTGCATCCAAATATGTATCTCCAAAAAGAGACATTTTAAGAATTCCGCACATGACCTAAAAAAATGTATAAGAATGTAATAAAAATTGTCATAATTTTTTGAGTTTGGTAGGCCGGCCCATATAGGCTATCCATTTTAACAGCTGTACCCATAACAACACCTCTTCAAGTGTAAAAAAAATCTAAAAAGAAATGTAAAAACATTAGATCTTACTCATAATTTTGCAGTAGTAAAATTATGAATATAAAATAATTTTGCAGTAGAAAAATTCTACAAAAAGAAATGTAAACATTAGATATCAATAAACTTTTAATTATAAATTAACAATTTATAATATCAATTGATCTTAAACATAATTTTGCAGTAGTAAATACACGGACAAAATCTACAGGTAAATTAGTAATTTCAACATCAACTATATCCATACTTAAACTAAATAATAATAATAAATGTTGAAATATTATGTTTCAAATAGTTTAGGAAAGCTGCAGAGATTTTGGCGTTCAGGATGTTTCTAAAAATGTGGAAAAAATTGTGCATTTTAAAAAATTATGTTACGAATATCATTTATATATATTAATGAGAAATATGCATCAATTCTGTCAATAATCAATCTCCGCAGAAGAAGCTAGTTAATAACCTCCCATCCTAGCCACTAATTTTCTTATCCACAATGTTCATACAAATTAAACAAAATACTAAAAGAATAATTATAGGATTCATACATTATTACAATTAAAAAATAACAAATTATCTTAATCTAATCTGCATTAACAATGCCTGTCGGATCAGACAAAAGCCTCCTAGATGTACAAAAGCTTACCACATTATAGGATATCAACGCAAATCTTCAGCAAATATTGTATCCATCAAAAATTGAACTGCAGCCAAAATTCACAACAAAAAACAAGTTTAGTACAACTATTACACTGCAGCTTGAACTTTGTTCAAAACAACAATTATACAGCAGTTTCAATTATATTCACCAAGTGAAACTATCTCAAAAGTTTTCTTATCTCTAATAATCAAGACATCATCTCTACCATACCAGAATTATTGCATACCTTCCTCAGTTACGATATTTGGTTGATCAACCAAGAGTTGCTGTAGGGCACCAAGATCACTAGCACTGCTGTAGTTAATGCAAAGCGAAGAGAGTCAAAGCCCATAATATAGTGGATCCCTTCTTAGTTTACACAATGCATAAGACTAAACATTTGAAGGTTGATCAACCACAAGGTACATCAGAATTGGAATAAAGAACAAATTTGATTACCTCACCGCAAGAAGCAAGCTCAGAGGTAGGAAGACTGTCAACGAAAACTATAAGGAGTATTTTGGGTATAATAAATCTAGCCAATATGTGGATACTTACAATTTCACATAGTAACAATTTAGCCATACTTACAATTTCAGCATGCAATATAAGACATCTATGGGTAGCCCAACATCAAATATGTAACAGGATGTAATGCAATATAAGACATCTATGGGTAGCCCAACATCAAATATGTAACAGGATGTAATGCAATATTAGAATTAAGAACAGACTAATTGGAATCGAGAATAAATTGTGCCTAAATCAACCCCAAACACACCCCTCCTTGAGTGGGACTGGACTGTTACAGCATTAACTTTATAGAATAGGACATTTGAGGATGGCCTAGCATCAAGACTAGATAGACCCCGGTACCATAAAACAATTGAGCACAAAATACTCAATGACCAAAAGCTAGCTGGGACCGCGAAGATTGTACAAATTTAATATAAGGTGTCATTGTTTAAGAAATTCCTAACAGTCATTGTTAGCAATAAAAAAGAGAAGAGTGGTTTGAGAAACTTGTTTCTTGCAATTGGGCAGTTTTGAATGCTTGAGAGGTGTAACCGTATGCATTTTTAAGCCATTACCTTACCTCCCTTGTTCTTTAAAATAGAAACAAGCTCTATCCAATCTGAAACCTTATCCAAGATAGGTACATGAAAATTCATTTTAAACAAAGATGGATTAACATATTCCTGCGGAACTTTATTATGTCACGACTTTATAATGCATTGACATTCTTTTCTAAGGACTAAGATATTGATATGATGCACAGAAACTATCGTTATTGGAAGAATCATTACGCAAGGTCGAAACTAGTGATCCAGCTGTAGTATCTGCAATTATTAAGTACTCAGAGGAGGTTTCCCTAAAAGAGGGTAGTGTTTATCACAGGTTGGTGTGTCTCTCTAAAATATAAATAAACTATGTAGATCACAAACACTACATTTCTGAGAACTTGGAGCAAGTTTAGTGTTTGTTTTTTTTTTTTTTAAATAATTGAAACATATCACTCTAGTCTTAGTCAGTTACCTTTCTCCTTTACATTCACTTAATGTGGCCATTCATTGCAGGATGGATCTAATCAATAAGTGTTTCTCTAGGAAAACAATGGAAGAAATTTCATCTTGTCTTGTAAGGGTCCGTTTGTTTTGCCTTTTTTTAAAAATGATTTTTATATTGTTACATAATTTTGAGTAAAAAATTTACAAAAAAACTTTTCATAAAAGCATTAAATGAAAATTTTGGTTTAAATAGTTATTCTTAAAATGTTATTTTAGGTATTTTATTTTTTTATTGAATTTTTTTTTGGATATCAAAATTTTAAAATATCACTTAATTTTGAAGCTATTTCAAAAAGATTTTCATAAAAATCATTTTTGAAATACAATTTTTTTTTAAAAAAATTGTGATTTTGACTACATTTGGTCTTCAATAATATATGTTTATGTTATAGAATGTCAAAATTAATGTTTCAATTTAGAAAAAACGAATATAAAAAACTTGTAATATTTTGAAAAACGGTTTTGTAAAATCTATTTTTTAAAATACAAAGAAAAAATTCATTTTTTTAAAGCAGAAACAAGCAGGCCCTAAGTTATGTTTTGAGTTATTACGCCATTAAAAAACATCTTATTGAATATGTTCTTTAGCATAATCAGGTATGTACTTTTGACATTTAGAAATCATAACTTCATCACACTGATTTAGGAGACCGAAGCTTCTACAATAAGGCAGACAATTGGATTTTTACAACTCTTGAAACCTTGAAGAAATCATCTCCAACTAGCCTTAAAGTCTTTCTTAGATTGGTACAACTCTTGAAACCTTATGTTTTCTTTGTGTTCATCACTATGCATGAGTTCTATGATGATAAGATGGTATCTTACAAATAAACACTATAGTTTCTCTTCAATTCTTCATCGTTATTCTTGCATCTCTTTCACATCTTCATTCTTTTTTTATTGTGATCATCTCTGGATCCTATCATCATGCTTCCATGTATTAATCAACCTCCAAATTCTGTGAATCTCACACCTCTTTTTCCAAGTTTTAGAGTGCAACCAGAGAGATGGATGGATGGACGGAGGGATGGAAGCATGGATGGATGGACGGAGGGAAGGATAGATTGATGGAGGAAGGAAGGATGGAGGGAAGGATGGAGATGGATGGATGGAAGGAAAGATGGAAGGATGGATGGAGGGAGGGATGGATGGAGGGATGGATGGATGGAGGGATGGAGTGAAGGATGGATGGAGGGAGGGAAGGATGGAGGGAAGGAGGGATGGATGGAGGGAAGGATGGATGGAGGGAAGGATGGAGGGAAGAAAGGAAGGACGAAGGGAAGGATGGAGGGAGAGAGCATTACCAAAAGAAATAGGTTGCATTTTGATGGTAATGTACAAGTCTTGCAATCCACTGTTGTGTGTTAGAGAGAAAGTTTTGGTGTGGTCATCATAGCTGCTTTAAGGAAGTTGCCAACTTGGAGTTGCAAAGAGATTTAGTTTTTCATGCTCTAGTATTGAATTTAGACTTTTGCGTGTTGGAGAATCTCTTGACCTCATCCTAATTCTGCACCCCTCGAATAAATTTCTTTTCAATCCCAAAATTAAATATTAAAACTGGGTTGTACTCCCTACAATTGCTATTGCAAGAGCTAAGAACAAACTGAGGAAACTAAAAAAAGCTAGTTTAAAGGGAGAAGATTTCCCAAGTCTATAAGGAGTGCATTAGTTCCTAGCTGATAATGACATAATTTCCTAAATCAAAATAGGACTACTTTGGTCATCAAGAGGAGTACAAAGTTCATATGACTAAACATTTGAAGGTTGATCAACCACAAGGTACATCAGAATTAGAATAAAGAACAAATTTGACCTACCTCAACACAAGAAGCTAGCTCAGAGGTAGGAAGACTGTCAACGAAATTATAAGGAGTATTATGGGCATAAATCTAACCAATATGGGGATACTTACAATTTGACATAGTACAATTTAGCCATACTTACAATTTCAGCATGCAATATAAGACATCTATGGGTAGCCCAACATCAAATATATAACAGGATGTAATACAATATTAGAATTAAGAACAGACATATTAGACTTGAGAACAAGTTGTGCCTAAATCAACCCCAAACACACCCCTCCTTGCCTGGGATTGGACTGTTACAGCATTAACTTTATAGAAATAGGACATTTGAGGATGGCCTAACATCAAGACTAGATAGACCCCGGCACCATAAAACAATTCAGAACAAAATACTCAATGCCCAAAAGCTAACTAGGACAGCGAAGATTGTACAAATTAATATAAGGTGTGCACCGCAAATTGTTCGAGGGTTTTAGTCCCTCCATTTTCTTTAATCTGGTTTTGGGTCCCTGCTATTGAGTATCATCTTTATATTTTCCCTTATTTGGGTTTTAGACCATACATTGTCTATCCATCAAATGCAAATAGTCCTCATTTTTCATGAACGTCTATATAGTTTAACTATTTAAGGTATTGGTTCCTAAAGGATGAAAACCTAAATGATTTGAAGCGATAGAGATCTATACCCAAGAGAAATATTATACGGAGCAAAACCCAAATGAATGAAAACTCTAAGGCCTAAAATTTTCCATAAACTAAAGTATAAAAGAATTCTAAGAAAATAATCATATAAAAAGGAAATTTAGAATTACATAAATACAATTAAGACTTTTGAATGGTTGGACTATATTATATAGCATTGGCATCCTCATACCTGGGCATTAAGGCTATTGACGATATTGCTGATACAACTGATGTTTTTAACAAATACCTGTTTCAAAAATAGAATTAACCGCTCACAAAAAGAAGAGGCAACTAATACTATGAAGACATTTATGTTAATTGTTAAAAGCTATTAAAGCAGAAAGTTACAAATGTATTACAAAATGAAACTAAGCCTAAAGGTGCTTTAAATATATTACAAATCTATATAGAGTGGTTCTGTAAAAATATCACCTAAGCACCATTGAGAAAATGTGATTCGTGAAAATGTGATTCGTGAAAATGTGATGTGTACAAAAAGTTCAGGCACTAATGCATTTCTGGATAAGTCTAACAGCAAAAATTAGTAGGCATAAAAAAAGTAGTCAATGTTGTTCCTTACTCTGAGTAGTATATTTCATGTAGAAACAAAAGGCCATCCAAGCAATCAATAAGTCTAGGTTTGACACCAACACGCTGCTGCAGTTGTTTCATGGTTGGGCGAGAAGAACTACCTTTGACTAGTTGTTTACCGTCACGACTAATTTTCTCAAGCGATAAGACAATACGATGGAACTCTTCTCTGAAAGTTCAAATTAAAATTTAAACAAATAAGTCAATAAAACTAACACATACTAATCATCTCCACTGAAACATTATTGTGATAACAAGTCAGCTAATAATATAGCTCACAATTCCATTTTTTATTCTCTACATTTTCTCCATTACTACAATTTTGTCTGTAAATAACACACATTTCTAAAACATGTAACATATATTACGTATTTAGGCACTTTATACACACAAAACTATAGTAGTCGAACTTTCCATTTCTTTTAGGAAATGGAGCGAATCCCTACTTAGTTTACACAATGAATAACGAAAAGAGTAATTTCTAAAAAGTAGCTTGAGGAATTGACATATAATTTGGTACTTATTTAAAATAGATTATGATCAGTTTGCGAGATAGTAGTAGTGACTGAGCTGGAAATTTAAATACCTATCAATTATCAATTATGATTATAATTTTAAATCCCTTGTAATGACAATTTGGAAGGAAATATCAAGAAATGATGAAATTGTTTGATTCCTCAACCATTCCAAAGTTGAAAAGATTGGAGATCAACATAGAAACTTACAAAGTCCTTTTCATGGAAACCAAAATGGTATTCAAAGAACCAATCTGCTTTTCCAAAAGAGCATCTTTAACACCAGCAACACAATTTAGAATACCATAATTGCTAGATTTTTGAAGCACCTGCTAGCAACCACATCAGTTACTTTAAGATCCCAAGTAATTTAATAACTATAACACGGTCCAGATCAAGGTCAAAGAAGCAAAAGGGATTGAAAAATTTATATACATGAAGAAGTTAAATTACCTGCAACCTATTCAAAATATGAGAAGCATTCGTAAACTGTGAAATTAAGCGAGATTGAAGATCATCCCACTGACTCATTTCTTCCCTAACCTTTTGGAATTTTGACTGAAATTTTTTCACCATCACTTCCATTTTCAAGTACTTAAACGACCAGTCAGATGTCAGCAACAAAGCCTCCGTTAAAAAAGTCATTATTAGTTATGGCGACAGACATGGATTTATCACCATTCCTAAATCAACATTATAAGGAACTAAGAAGGTTTTGGCAAAAAGAATGTAGAAAACAGCAGAATCAAAGGCAAATAAACAGATTTTTTTTAAAACAACCCGTCAAACTGATCACTAGTTCGAATCAGTGTTGTCAAAATACAAGATGAAGTAAATATGTGCGAATTGAGGTAAGAGATCAAGACCTATAAAGCACGGACACCCCAAACACATACTTGACACCGACACGACGACATCAGTAATAATTAAAAAGAGATCAAAACACAATTCAAAAATATTCAAACACATACTTTTTATTTTCAGAGAGATGCAAAATTGCAAAAAAGTGATCATCAGTATCTTGTTATAACTAGAAAGTGTTTGTGTGAGTTGAAAGTGGAACAACTCATAATCTGTGGAATTTTACGAACCTAACAAAACATTTTAACTTGAATCAGAATGAATGAACTCAATGAAGAGGCGAAATAGAACGAAAATCATGTTTCAATTCAAACTAAGTGTTACAGCTTTATACGGTAAGTAGTTCGAGACAAAGAATGCACGAGCATGAAGATTAAGAAAATACCAGAGAGAAATGAGTGTGGGGGTCGGAGTCACCGTCGTATCACGACGGCGGCGTGGCTGAAATCCGATGAATTTAGTTGCAGCAGTTCAGGCGTGCAGAGATTAGGTCACAGGTTGAATAAACCGAAATTGATTCTCCGGTGTTTCCGTAAAGAGACGGTTTGAGCCGGTTTTCCCAATTCTGTAAGGCTGTTTGGACCAGAACCAGATCCGGTTTTCAGTTGAACCGATTGAACTGTTCGGTTCGGTTTGGTTCCCAGTTGAACCGGTTGAAATGTTCGACTCGATTTATCGTTCATTCTTCACATTCTGACGTATAGCTCCTTCCTCCTTTCCCTTCATTGCGCTCTCTCGATCCCTCAGTCCTCGCAATCTATCCGCCGTCTTCCACTACGTTATCGCCCCACTCTCTGAATAGAAAGGTAACTCCCCTCTCTCTATCTCTTTTCGAATTTAGGGTTTCTTCTTTTCTTTCCTATTTTTCTGCAACCCCGTACTCGTTCCTTAACCCTTAATGAACGGGGACAGAAATTTACCTAAAATTTTGAGGTTATTAAATTTTGAATTTTGATTATATTACGTGAAGGAACGTGGGATGAAGTTGTCTGATCTTAGGGTCTGTTGTTTATTTACAGCTTTAGTATAAGTGCTTAATAAGGTATTTTTAGGGATAATTACACTCATCTCTTTTAAGGTCAGTTAAAATGACACTGACACCTTCTAAAGTATGTAATAACCTCTCCTAAATTTAATTATATCAATGAAATGTTTTAGTATCAGATAAAAACCGTAGGTAAATGTCTTCTATTTCTACAGTTTTTTGCTATCACTAAAATTAGAGGGGGTATCGTTGTTTTAATAAACCTCAAGGGAAGTTAATGCATGATTTAAAATTAGAGGGGGTGGGTGTCTCCGTTGTTTTAATAAATCTTAAGGGAGGTGAGTATAATTTTCCCAAATAAATTTAAATTACATTTATATATTTATGTTATAAGATGTTTTCATTAATTATCTAAAAAATTTATATAATAATCGGAAGAATTTATATAGATAAGTTCAAGAAAATGTATGAACAATATCGTAAACTATTTTGATCAGGTCTTTCAAATAGTGTCACAAAACTGATGGCAGTAGATAAACTCAATAAGCTCATCCAAACAGGCCCTTAATGCGGCCGGATGTGTGATTTAAATTCACACCGCAATTGCAGTCTCATGTGGATGCGGAGACTACACATCAACAATATTGCAACTGCAATTGCAGTTGCGGACCACCATTTAAAACTGTGCTCCTATCAGTGTAATGATGTTATTCTTGTCTATTTGTGTGATTACATAATAACCGATAATCACAAAAATACAATTGTGTCTGCTTTGTGATTTTATATTTCAATGATGTCTATGCAAACTATAATACCTAATTATTTCCACATGTGATTGGAATCATGACTTCTTTTTAGGAATTTATGCAACCGGGAGGGGTAAGAGATGCCCATATTAGGTCTCCTTCAACCAATTGAAAAAGATTTTGGATCATTTACACATTTCAAAGAAAATTTTACAGAAATTGCACTCACATTGTTTGCTTCTGGCTGAGTTTTTCTAGTTTGTAAGTCCTTTTCTAATTTATTTCACCTTCTCTCTGTTTTTGCTAAAGTAATGTGTAGGTTATTCAAATCTCATATAATTATCTACTTGATATGCCATAAAATCATTGGATTTCTCTTGATAACAATTGGGTTGGTAAGAACCATGCACGCCCTTAGATACCATGTTAATATTAATTGTTTTTGAAAATTAACTTTCTCAATAAAATGATTTGAAAAATTATAGGGAATATTAGAAAAAATTCCTCATTTTGGACCACCCTAGTCTTCAGTCCTTAACGTGAATATCCATCCTCCAACGAGACAACTGGCCATGGCATCCCCCGCCAAACTCAACGAAGATCAGGTTTTCTCTACTCTCAATTTTGAGTTCTTATACTTCGATTCTCTGTTTCTTTTTTCTTTCTTAAAATCTCAATCAATATTCACTCATTCAAGTATTTTTCAATTGGAACCGTTTTCTGTTTCAGCTTCTGGTGGAACATAAATCATTCGCAAGAGTTTTGACATTGAACAGACCAAAGCAATTGAATGCTCTCTCTTATTATATGGTACTATTTCAAAATTAATCTTTATCATTCATTTCATGCATCGCTTTCTTTTTGAAGTTATTTTATTTTACTTTGGAGTAGCTAACATATCAACACATCAAGTAACTGTAGCAGCGATGAGGGTGTTGCATTGGATGTGTGGTAAGACTAGACATGATAAGATTATAAATGACAAGATAAGAGAGAGTGTTGGTGTAGCATGTATAGTAGAAAAAAATGGTGGAAAATAGACTTTGGTGCTTTGGACATGTGGAAGGAAGACCTGTAGATTCTGTAGTAAAGAGAATATATCAGATAAAGAGGAGTCAAATAGTTAGAGGTAGAGGAAGACCTAGGAAAACTATAAGAGAAGTTATTAAGAAATATCTTGAGATTAACAATTTGGATAAAAGCATGACTCTAGATAGAACATTATGACAGAAGTTGATTCATGTAGCCGACTCCACTTAGTGGGATAAGGCTTGGTTGTTGTTGTTGAAGTAACTAACATAGTGGAATAAGGTTGGGTTGTTTTTGTTGTTAGACTAACTAACATACGATAGAAAAGAAAATAACATATGATTGAAAAGAAAATACCACATGTAATTGATTTTGACAATTGACATGTTTGGTTGCTTTCTAGTTGAATTGATTAAAATTTTAAACAGTTTATTCAAGAATTGATTTTTAGACTTAAATTTATTTCAATTCACTTTACATGAATGTATTCAAACTTAAATCACTTAACTTTCAACTCATTCTTAGTCGGAACAAATTCATTCAAAATTATTTTTGTCTTTGTAGAACTAAACACGAATTTTATTTCACTTGAACATTTAGCTTCCGAGTTTGATTCCATGGTTGGAGGGCTCAAACTTGAGTTTTCCACGGTCAATCCTAGTTTGATGGCATGTAAAGATGTTTGGCTTCCTAAGAAATTGATTCTAGCATCAAAACCATGCTAAGTTGAAGCTCCCGTGTGTAGCTTCCAAGGTGGCTTGGAAGTTGGAATTTATTCTGAATTTCATTGTAATGTGATGGATATCCTCTCACTATTTTTGTGGTAACTGCATACTCAAAATCACCTGAAGATGTGTTGGGTTTGGGGCTTCTTTTTGGAATTGTCTTTCTTGTTAGTCTTTAGTTATTGTTCTCTAAGTCTCGAACCTTTCATTTAAATTCTCCTCCAAGTAGGACTATATCATCTGAATGTTTCAAATTTTATGGTAGTTTTGTTTGACAGAATGTAAGAGAACGACCTCTTCTTCTTTGTTTTCTTTGGTTCCATTCAAAATTTATCATTTTTCCTATCTTGGTTTTGTTTTGTTTCAATTTCTCCATCAAATGCTACCCAAAGAGTAAATTTTTTTGTTTACAGTCATTTGTTTTGTTTGTGTTTTTATTCCATTAATTGTTTCAGTAATAATTACAAAAATGTCATCTTGTTTTCTGATTTTTAAATATTTGTACTGGAAATGCCAGACAATTTTTCACAAACCAAAATGCCCCTAACTTCTTCCACATACCTATCAGAACTCTTTAAATTTTTTTATTATACTATATGTTAAGTTCCAATTCCGATTCCCATTCTCTTACTTTTCTTGATATCCTTCTTCTGTTTTCCTGTTATAGGTATCTAAACTACTGGAAATATTTCACGATGACGAGGAAAATTCTGATGTTAAATTGGTTATCGTCAAGGTCATTTTCATATACTGAACACTTTTTTGCATTTTGTTATTACCTACATGTGATAGAGAGAGAAAAAAGTGCCAACAATTGGAATAAGAATGAATAAACTGCTAAATTAGTTCTTGACATTTTCTTGCTAGAGCAAATTAGTACTTGATGGCTGAAAGTAATCAACACGTCAGAAAGGAAATATGAATAAATTAAAGACTCAAACCAAAGAGAACCTCAATTTTCTAACTTTTGGCTACCTATATCAGGGAAATGGCAGGGCATTTTGTGCTGGTGGTGATGTTGCAGCTGTTGTTCATGAGGCAAGAGAAGGTATGTTCTCTTTTTATTACTTAATTTATCAGATAAAATAACTACAATGTTCATTGCATTTCTGTGAGCGCTGTACTATTTCATACTAGACTTAAATATCATATTATATTATATGATATTATATTATTTTATATTCTTTCATTGATTTAAATTTTTCACTTATGAGCTATTGTAAATTTGTAACCACCTCTCATTGTAATTTTATTAAATTATTCGGTTATTAGGATGATTAGTAACCGTGCATAGGAGATTATGTTTTAGGCAGGGCAGAAGTAGTTAGGTCTATAAAGAAAAGGGCCATGTTTGAAGCTAGTATAGTTAATTTTCAGTTCTTGCTCCAAGTCTTTTTATTTCAAGTTGGTATTTGAGCTCTTGATATGGAAGACCATGCTTTTACAAAATCCTTAGGCAACCTTCATTGCAGCTGCGGATCAACTACCTTTATTGTGGCTGACCTCGACACTACGTTGATGGCTTGATGCATTCATATTAGTAATAGTATCTGGACACCAAATCATTTATCACCCTATACTGCCAGCAAAACTTCATCTGACAACCTCACTAGACGAACTGCCAGCCTTCATCCAATCAACATATCCATCTTGAGCTGCTGCCACATACACTCGAGTTTTGCTTGCATATCAGAGTCATGTGCCTTGTGGTAGCATGTGAAGGCACACCTTGCCTCTATTCATCTTGCTAGCAATCACATATTTCTACCCTGGTGACCCTGACTTCAGTTTTGGTGGTCAGTTCCGTAGCCTCCACCTTGAGGTTGACTCCCCTTACAATTTATTTTTGGATAAATTTAATTCTCTCTCCTTGTAGTACCCTCCAATTGGGACAATTGTTACGATCTTATTTAAAGAGGGAAGCTATTTCAATATGAGATGTCACACTGTTTCTAAATTCCTTATGTGAGGAGAGAATATAAATTCGAATGCTTGAGTTTTCAAATGTAGTATTTAACTAAAATGAAAAACTAATTATTTGTTTCCATTTGGAATAGGTGATTGGAGGTTTGGTGCAAAGTTTTTTGAAACTGAATATAAATTGAATTATTTGATGGCAACATATAGTAAGCCTCAGGTAACTCTTCATAATTGTACAAACACTTATTCTATTTTGTATTTGCGCTCATGGCTCTAACACGTCAGATTTCCTCACATCTGTTTCCAAACATCTGCAGGTTTCAATTCTTAATGGAATTGTCATGGGAGGTGGCGCCGGTGCTTCTATGCATGGAAGATTTCGTGTCGTTACAGAGAATACCGTATGTTTTGTTGAGACCATTATCATGTAATTGCTACATTGGATGGTCTAACCAAATCAAAGAATTATTTCATAGATTCAAGTTCTAACAATATTATTTCTTTGGATTTTTCTTGTTCACTGTTGTTGGAAATTTGTTTTCTATTCAAAAAAGAAAACAGTGATACGAAAGAGAGGTTGGTTTGAAATGGCTTATAAAGATATGCCTGTCCCTATCTATTTAGCATCCAGATATTCATTGACTTAATTTTTATGTTTGTACTTCATGACCTTCATGTACTAGTGGATCATTTGCAGGTCTTTGCAATGCCAGAAACAGCTTTGGGACTATTTCCTGATGTAGGCGCCGCATATTTCTTGTCTAGATTAGCTGGATTTTTTGGTATGGAAGTTGTATTTTAGATATCTATGGATTTAATTTTACTTGAATGATTTAGTTGATATTAAAATTACTTAACTTTTCAATCTTTTCATCGTTTTTGTCACTGATATCTTCTGTAATTTTTGGTGCATAGCTGATTTTGTTAGTCAATTAGCATCTTCTACTTTACACACACAGGCATGTGCACACACAGAGCACCTGGGGGTGGGTTTGAGAAGATGCTTAGATTCTTGAATTTTCATGATTGTTTACTTTCTCTTGTATGGTTGGATTATGTATATAAAATACCCATTTAATTGAATTTTGTTTTATTATGATTCCAACATCTTTTCAGAATTTGCAAAACATCCTATAAAAAAAGTACAATAACATTCTCGTCTCCTCCTTCTTTCTTTGGACACAAATTGCAGGTGAATATGTTGGTCTTACAGGTGCTAGGTTGGATGGTGCAGAAATGCTTGCTTGTGGTCTTGCAACACATTTTGTCCCTTCATCAGTATGCTAAACATTCTTTTCTAAGGACTAAGATATTTATATGATGTTTAAGCTAAGGGGTTTCTAATCTGTGTCTGTTTGGTTGCCTTTTGCAATGAATGCACAGAAACTATCGTTATTGGAAGAATCATTATGCAAGGTCGAAACTAGTGATCCAGCTGTAGTATCTGCAATTATTGATAAGTACTCAGAGCAGGTTTCCCTAAAAGAGGGTAGTGTTTATCACAGGTTGGTGTGTCTCTCTAAAATCTAAACTATATAGATCACGAACACTGTACATTTCTATGAACTTGGAGCACGTCTGTTGTTTGTTTGTTTTTATTATTTTTAAATAATTGAAACATATCACTGTAGTCTTAGTCAGTTACCTTTCTCCTTTGTATTCGCTTATTGTGGCCATTCATTGCAGGATGGATCTAATCAATAAGTGTTTCTCTAGGAAAACAGTGGAAGAAATTTTATCTTGTCTTGTAAGTTATGTTTTCAGTTATTACGCCATTAAAAGATATCTTATTGAATATATTCTTTAGCATTATCACTTTTGACATTTAGCAACCATACGGTGGTTTAGGAGACCGAAGCTATGAGTAAGGCAGACAGTTGGATTTCTACAACTCTTGAAACCTTGAGGAAATCATCTCCAACTAGCCTTAAAGTCTTTCTTAGATTGGTACGTGGCCAGAGAGTATTAAATGTTATGTTTTATGGAAGCATAGTATGGATTGTGGGTTTTAACCGTTATTAGTGTCTGGTTCATAGTTTTTTATTGACTTTTTTCAGATTAGAGAAGTGAGGCTTGTAGGTGTTGGTGAATGCCTTGTTCGAGAGTATAGAATTGTGTGTCATATCCTACAAGGACACCACAGCAAAGATTTCTTTGAGGTTTTTTGATGATTCATAAAGATGTATTTTGTTGATTTCTTGCCATACTCATCTCAAAATGGTTACTTATGGTCAACTGCAGGGTTGTAGAGCTATACTGATAGACAAAGATAGGAAGCCAAAGGTGGGAGGCCATAAATAACTATAGACATAATGTAGTTAGTATTATTGAAATTGTATTTCTTTGGTTCTCATGTTGATTGACTGTGTCTTCTTTATCAGTGGGAACCTTCCAAATTGGAGCTTGTGAGTGACGGCGACGTCGACAGTTACTTCTCTAAGCTTGATGATGCTGAAGGGTGGAAAGATTTGGAGCTTCCCAACAGGTTCAAAAATTTGCCTGCACATGCTATTTCAAAGCTTTAAAAGCGTAGAAACCAAGGAATCACATCATTAAATGGATTCTTGAAGGTTGAGTACAGCTTTGGCCTTTGTGAATTGCCAATGATATGAGAAAGTCTTCACTTATGTTTTCTTTGTGTTCTTCATATCATGAGTTCTATGATGAAAAGATGGTATCAGTCAAATAAACACTATATTAATCAACCTCCAATTCGAGTCTCTAATGGTGATATAGATTCAATTTATTACATTCATCTACGTGAATGTCCTAATTATGTGAAACTCACACCTCTTTTTGTAAGTTTAGAGAATGCAACCAGAGAGAGAGTTGGATATATGGATGAATTGATGGATGCATGGGTGGAGTGTGGGATGACGGGATGGAAGGATGGGTGGAGGGGTGGATGAAGTTTAGCGAAAAAGTAAAACAAAATCAAGTATCACACTTTAACATTAAAAATCTTATTTTAAAATAAAATAACAAATCATACATATTTTTTATCAAAAATTTTAAGAGTGATTATCACGATAAATTTTTCTAGTTTTTTCATCTCAATCATTTTCAACAAATAAAACATTTGCAGAACACATGTCATATGCTAGTTATAAACATTATTTTACAACGCTTGCATAAGTTTAGTCCAATCATAAAAGTATTTTCAAATAAACAATCACTTCAGCACCATCCAATAGGTTTGAATATCCGAAAGACGGTTTAATCAAATATTTTGGACATGCTCATGATCTATAACCATAACATGAACACTAGTTCAAAAGAGCAGATACATGAGTTGTGTCTAGCAGGCAACATAAATAACCTCCTATTTTCATCTCAATAGATACTAGTATTACTCTACATTTACAACCAACCTCTGGACTGTAGGAAAGCATAGTATGAGCATGGTGTCATCTAGAGGTGAATAACATCAGCTTCCTATGAGCATGGTGTCACCTAGAGGGGAATAACATCAGCTGCTTATGGTTTTTCCTATAGGCAGCTTCATGGAAACAAGAATTCATCATATACATCATCATAACAGGGACATTAGAGGATTTCAACGCAAATTATCTTAATCTAATCTGCATTAACAATGCCTGTCGGGTCAAGGCTCTCATGATGTACAAAAGCTTACCACATTAGAGGACATCAACACAAATCTTCAGCAAATATTGTATCCATCAAAAATTGAACTGCAGCCAAAATTCACAACCAAAAACGAGTTATGTGGATCACACAGTTTGTAAAGTTCAAGTTGAAACAATCCTTACGCGATTTGTTTAGTGATTACCATGGTTTTATGTGAAGGTGTGCTCAATATGATTCCATTGGTAGTGATTTTTAACAAGAAAATAGTGATTCTGTTGCAGGCCTTTACCACTTTCTGTTGGATTTATTGCTCAATATGCGGTGAAATCTTTACTTCTGATGTTGTGTAACTAGCTGAGATTTAATTGATTATGGTGCTGGTGAGGTTTTGTAGAATATGTTGCAGGGCTGATTGGTGAGTTTATACATAGCAAGTTCTTTTGCACCATAGGGCCATAGAATTGTCATTCTTTTAGGCACTAAATAATGAATCTTTCATTAATTTATCTTAAATGTCAAGTATTTAAAAATAGTTTTTATTGGTCAATTATAAATCTTTAAAAAATAGTACTTTTAATAAATCTTACATAAATTTTAATATTTTTATTGGTCAATTATTCAAAAATAGTTCTCTATCAACTAATTAACTAAAAATTAATATTTATCATAGGTCCATAAACAAATTATGAACATATGAATTCCTTTAATTATAATTTATTTTATAATCATACATGTGATAAATATTTATTTGTAACAATTATTAGAATGCAATAATTTTATTCATAAAAATCAATTGCGGCATTTTGTATGCAATCATTTTATTGATAATGATGAGAACTTAACTATTTGGCAATGGGGAAATAAAATGCAATAAAGTTGTAATAAATTTTATTTTTTTATAATATGGAAATTATATTGAAAAAATAAAATCTGTTGAACTATTTTATTAATGAAATTTTTTATAAATTCAAATAATTATTTGGCAACTGGGAAATAAAATGCAATAAAATTTGAAAAATTAAAATTTATTGATCATTTTTTAATTATTTGACAACAGAAAAATAAAATGCAATAAAATTTTAATAAATTTTATTATTTTCTATTATGTTTTCTTACGAACTAATTTAAAATATTTTTAAATTAATGAGTATATCTTAATATTTATTTTGTAATCTCATAATAAATCAAGTCAACACAAAGTAATAATAATAAGTAATAAGAATCCAGAAGAAAAACTAAATGAACTCTTAGCATCTTTGCAAGTTAGAAGTGGCTGTGCTATCATAGAATGGAACACCCAAATTTTGCTGCTCGCCTGCCAAGTTCTGCGTGTGCTTGCTCAAGATCTTTTCTAAGTTTTTCAATTTCATCATTTGATCTCTTTTCTGCATCTAGTCTTGCTTCTTGTTCTTGTGCCAATCGTTGCTCCAGCCTTATAGTTGTTTCCTTCAACTTCGTATCTACCTACAAAATCATATAAAACCGACTTATCATCAGACCATGTAATGCAAACAATACTAGTTAAGAAAATGATCTCAAAAAAAAAAAATGAAACGATGAAGATTTGTTGAATATCGACACCATGAGTAGTACCATATCAGTAATTTGTTTAAGCAGTCCTATATCTCCTTCCTGCAGCCATATAATGAGTTCATTGAAATCAGATTATTTTTACAAGAGTTAAGAAAAGTGAGACTGAAATTTACAACACTTTCACCTCGAATTTGGTAAATAACTCATCCGTATAAGGCCGACCACCATTCTTTGATACTACCTGGTTTACCAAAGATAGCAGTTGTTGAACTTGTTCGAATTGCTTCTCTTTATCCTTTGTAATGTTATTGAAAAGCACATATCGATTATCACACAAAGAAATAATTGCCTGCATTAATGTTAATGGCAATTCAAGATCAGTGAAACTTTCACAGTAACATGGTAACATGGTAACATGGAATGCTATAAACCAGATAAACGGTAACATGGTATGCTCTAAATTAAATGCATCAACAAATTTACCAAACAATGCTTCACCTCAAAGGTTATGATACTAATACAAACCTTTAAAGATTCAGGACATTCAGGGCCTAAATAATCATCGTCTAGCGTCATATCATCGTTTTCCAATGTATCTCCATTGGTAAATACCACAATCATATAGTCAACAATTTTGCTTCCAAACAATGTCTGCAAGCTACGGAAAGCATTTTCTTCTTCCACACTAAAGCGTGTTTTAATAGACAGCACTACAATGATGGCATGGATCCCGTCCTTAGCTAAACCAATGCATTTGAGTATTTCTTCCCCAACAAATTCAGATTTAGCAGAAAGATCAAACAATCCTGCGAAACCAGTGAAGAAAAAATAGTTAAAGCGAAATATTAGTATTCATAACTCATTACACAACTCAACAATTCATGCTAATGACATCGCAAAAACATCATGAGAAACTATCCTAATATGAAGTGTTATAGAAATTAAAAACATATTTAACTTTATTTTACAATCTCTAAAATCTTATTGAAGTGTTTCTCCAAAGCCTAAGTTATAGTATATATATACCTGGACTGTCAATAACATTAATGACCTGTCCATCATACATCACAGCTGTCTTCATTTCACACGAAGCGGTGACACCGGAGGAGCTTGTCTTGGACTTGAAAACTTTTTTTCCAAGAATAGTGTTACCGGTTGCACTCTTGCCATTGCCGGTTCGTCCAAACAAAACTAGTGTCTTGACATTATTAGACGGGGAAGCAAACTCCCAATCATCAACGGAAACAACAGAACTTCCACCCATCACAAATTGTTATTAGCTGAAAAGAAGATAAAACAAATTCTATAAGTACATTGGTTATCAATTGTAATGTCGGTAAACACCTTATAATTTCAAATTCTACTTGTGTATTTAGGAATGGATGATATGCTGACAACAAATTGTGTCGTTAACCTTAAACATAACATCCATAACCCAGGAGGAGATACTGTTATGTGCGACTTTTTGTTAAAAATTCACATTGGTAAAATATATGCTAAAAGTGAGCAGAACAATAAATAAAAAAAACACATTTGAATAGAAAACTAAAACTCTAAAATCAATTGAATATGGAAATATTCAAATCTCTAAGAAATCAATTTTCACACTTCTAACGTATATAGTAACACAAACACCTCTAGAAAAAAATTTTATATATGTGTCGGCGGACACCACCAGTACTTATGATTCTATTTATTTTATTTTATTTTATTTTTTAAATTATTATCGATGTTTATGTGTAATGTCAATAACATGTTTAAAATGTACCAGCTTTATAACCGCTAATCAGCCATTTATGTGATTAAATAAGAAACTAAGCTAAAATACTGTAAATTGAATAGTATGATGTTGTGTTACATAGATAAAAAACGTTACCTTGTTGACGATGAGAAAGTGAAATATTGCAAACAGTAATTAACAGAAGAAACAAAAAAATTGAAGCTTAGGGTTTAGGGTTTAACCTTTACTGGTCGAACTATTTAGAGATGAGGAATTGAAGTGGTCATATTTTCGGTTGATTGGTAAAATTCCAATATTTTCAGTTTCGGTTTTTCAATTCCACATTAAACCAAATTAATTATTTCACTCATTATTAAACACTTTGATTGCTTTGTATCGAAAAAGCCCTTAATTTAATTGAGTCATAAAAACAAAATCTTAATTGCCTCTTCAATTTCTCGATTGATCTCTTCAAATCCTTGATATTCCTTTTTAAAATTAATTAAAATTAGGAGCTAAATGCTAAATATGATTTATATAAGTCAGATTTAAATTATTAAAAAAACATATAAAATTGAATAGGTTAGCTTATATAAATTTAAGAGATTAATTATCATCCTATCACAATTACCCATAAATATTATTTTATTAATAATTAAAATAAAATCTAACCTTAACTTAAAATCTAACGATTATTATTTGCAGATGGAATAAATTTTTTTTATTGTATTCCAATTAAATTCTAAATTTAATGTGAAATATAAATTAGATTTTAAATTTTGTTTAGTATATTAAAAAATGAGAAAAAGAAATATATACTGTGTAAAACAATTTTATATTAATAATTAATCACTATCATGTATTCATGTTACCTTAATATTTTTAAATTAGTTGTATAACATGGCTGATTGAATCATCATTAAATATTAGTTTAAGATTATTTTTTATTGTCAATGCACTATCTTTAACTTCTTTAAAAATAATAAAATTACTATTGATGTGAAACATGTTTTAATTTTTATTTTGAAATTTAACTATTATGTTTGAATTATTTGATCTATATTTTTTTATTAACAAGTTATATCTATAAATATAGATAGGCATGGCAAAAAAACCCAGACCCGCTGGGCCCCGCCCGGACCCGCCCCGAAATTAACGGGGAAAACCCGGCTAAAACGGGTACGGGTGCGGGGGCGGGTAAAACCCGGTTTCTAACTACGGGGGCGGGGGCGGTAAGACACTGAGACCCGCCCGCACCCGCACCCGCCCCGCCCCGCCCCGAATAATCCAATTACTATAATAACCTTGTTTTAATTATTTTTATGTTACTTTTATTTTTACTTGCCAAGACTATCATTGACTATATTTTACTATATTGATAGGTAATTTGAAATCTAACGTGGGAAATGAAAATGCTATTTTACTAACTGAAATGGAGTCTGATGATGAAGGTATTATTCATACTATTTGTATTAAATTTGTCAAGTTCAATTTTTATATTTTAACTTTTATTTTTTAACACAGGTGAGTTGTTGATAGATGGTGCTACTTCTATTTCCAACTCCCGCCTCGAAGATGAAGATTATTAGAAAATTTGTTGTTTATTTGGATCTTTTTTTGTTATGATGATATCGTATATTTTGTTCCATGTTGTTGGAATAGTTATTTTGTTCCATGTTGTTGGAATGTTCCATGTTGTTGGAATGGTTATTTTGTTCCATGTTGTTGGAATGGTTCTTTTGTTGATTGTATTATTTTAATTTTGTATTTGTACTTTGCAAAAAAATTGTTGGTTGTTGGGAGTGATTTATACTTTGATATATTGAAAGATTACACTCTTTTAATGAATCACAAGTTCACAACCAATTATAGTTGATTGAAGGGTTATGATAGAAAAATATTTGGAATGGTGTTTGAATATTAAATCCTACAATTATTTACTCAAATCAATGGCGAATTTTGTATTTTTAATGTATTTGTTAATGCTGTCCAGGAAATTTGTGAAAAAAATAGATATTTTTTTATTTAAAAAAAACAGTTTTCGCGGGTGGGGGCGGGTGCGGGTGCGGGTGACCCGTTCTCCATTGGGGGCGGGTCTGGGGGTGAATTTCCATCCCCCGACGGGTTTGGGGGAGGGGGCGGGTCTATTACTGGAGTTGCGGGTGCGGGTGCGGGGTTAGCTAAACCCGCCCCCGACCCGCCCCGTTGCCATCCCTAAATATAGAGGATCACATAATGGTGAACGAGATTAAAGCACTCCAGATATCACAAATGCAAACAAAAATATTTAAAAAATGAGGTCAAACCACCAATCAACAGGAAAGAATGTTGATAAAATTCAAAACTAAAAAGGATTTCAAAATACAAAGTTTGAAGATATCCACCATCAAGACGAAGACCAAAATCTACCAACACCTAAAAGAGAAAGGCAAATTCATTGTTGAAAACAATCAAATCTCTCTGGACCTGCACGACACACCCAAAAACCTTATCATATCCAAACATGTGGTAGGTTTGAACATTCACTCATCAAAAGTATAATGGCAATCTTTGATCTTACCAAGATATTACTTTCACAATGAAAAAATATCATATTTACATGGTAGGTTTGGACATATATTCATCAAAAGTATAATGGAAATCTTTGGTCTTAAAGAGATACTAGTACTACTTTCAAGATGAAAAAAATGTTCTAGCTGGATAGGGAACATGTCACACTGATTTTAGCGTTGGAGTGTTAATCTTGTAAATTCACCACCGCGTAGCCATAACAGGAATATGTACCACTGTACAAGAAGTTCAATTCACTACTCTAAGACTCTACATCACTCTTTCATCCATATTTATGGTTCCGTAACGACGTCTGTGAGAATCAGCCTTTGATCCCTGCGAATTTCCAAGAGAATTTTATCCTTTCTCCATCAAAGATCCATATATTTGATATTCTAGGGTTGAAACACCAATATCTTTTTCCAAAGAATATATATATATATATATATATTCAATCTTTCAAGATATGATCACTCGATATGCAAAAGTTGTTTTCGTTGCTCTCGAGGCTAGTAGATTTCATCCTCTTCTTCCTCTGTGGATATATGTGCTTGTAGGTATGAAACTGATGATCTGGATCATCAAAAAGGAGGACAATATTGATCTATGTGATTGCAGATACGAAAGCGCGTCTCGTCGTGTCTTTCCGAGTGACTAAAGTCTTGTAAAAGTAGGAGAGTGATTCCTAAGATACTAAGACAACTCACAGACACACACATAAAATACTTTGAAGACCTCTTTTTACTTTACAAAATCACCTAAAAAAGTTTATAAGGTCTAACCAGTTGATTAGGAATTGTCTGATTGATTAAGAGACATTTTTGAGCGATTCGATGATGCATAATCGAGTCTATAATCGATTATGAAGATCTCTTAATGATTGGTAATGAATTTATGTCAAAACCTTCAATTTGGGGCCACAAAAATCCGTTGGACACGTGACTTCACACACAAGGTGGAGGGGTGAATTGTGTGGTTCAAAAAAACGTGGTTTTGAAAAACTTTGCAGAATAAAATCCGAGTTTAAAAATATTTTTAAATACTTAGCAGCAAAAACAAAATGCAGAATATAAATTGCGGAAATTAAAAGAATAGGGAAAAGAAGAACACCAAGAGTATAGAGGTTCGGTCAAAACAAAAAGACATACTTCTCTCCCCAAGAACTGGTCTTAAAAGTTTCTAATAAACTTGAGAACTTTTAATAGGATGTACTCACAAACCCTCTTATACAAAGAAAAATGGTTGACCTCTAACCAAACAATACAAGACTTCATAATATGGCAGTTTGAGTCTTCTCTTTCAAACGGTAGATCGAAGCGGTTAGTGTCCTTTCCACACTTAAACCTTGGTTTTACATGGGCTAACTAATAACACGGGAGATTTTAATATCAAGATGATCTCAAACCTTATCCAAGCTTTTACCACGGGATAAGCTTTAACCTAATCTTGGTTTTACCACAGACTTACTAAGAACCTAAAGAGATTTTACCACGCGCTAATCTCAAACCTAGATAAAGTGAATCACACATTACTTTAAAATATACCTTTCATAACACCATACTACAATGGTCGTCCTATTAACCATAATAATAACTCATTTTTGGTGCTTTTTTTGCTATTTATTAAAAGACATTTTATTACGGTCAATGTTAACAATCATGGTGAATTGTACATGGAGTGTAAGGGTTCTGTTAAATTCATGGTTTTAGGATTGACATAAAGTTTGCTAAAATATGGTTATGGGCTGATGTTCAGCAAGATATCACAACATCTTAATCAACTGTCATGACAAGTTTTGCTGTCATGTGTATCAAAAAGATGTTGAGCCAGATGTGTTGACATCTTGGTCTATTCTGCAGCAGGTGCATCTGTTTTAATCTCTTGACAAATTTAATTTGTTTTTTAGAGATCCTTTTGGATGTATCTCATTATTATTCGCAGGTCAAGGAGATTTATTAGGAACACGTGCATATTTGATTTGGTTTCATTAAAAA